AGGGGTGTCCCCAGCACAGGGGTGTCCCCAGCTCCATGATCCAGAGGCTGGGAGAAGCCTGAGAGGAGAAAAGCTGGCTGCATAAAGCAGCACCATAAACCTTGTGCTTTCTGGGCTGGCACTTGAGGAGGATTAGGGGAAATGAACTGCTTTTCCTTTGGCTTGCTCTCCCCCAGGCTGCAGCTCGCAGCCCACAGACTGGTGGTGTTATCCAGCCCCGAGAGAGGATCCATTTCCTCCCAGACTGAGCCCAAATCCGGGCCCAACAATGAAACAGCCATGGAGGAACCACAAATCCTCACAGCTCCCTGGAAGTGAGAGCCCCGAGGAGCAGAGGGATCCGCGGGACCGGCCCACGGGCATCTCCCTGGTGCTGCACGGGTCAGCCTTGCCCTCACCTCCCCTGGGCAGGAGCAGGTTCCCCCCAGCTCACCCTTGTTCTCCTGTGCAGTTCAGGAGAACAAGGAGCCCTCAGCTCCTCGCTGGGTGTTCTCCCTCTGCTCCTCCTCCCCTGACACGGCTGCCTGGCTTAACTTAGGAAAGGAATAAAGTTTGATCAAGGATGTTTGGGGTTTTTAGCGTGTTGGGCGCTGCCTTCCCCTGTTCTGGAACATGCCATCCTGATGCTATCAGGGCTCCTCCCAGCCTGGCCGTGGGGGGAAGGTGTGTGCAGGGACGCCAGGTGCCCGCTGCCAGCGCTGCCCTCGCTGTCCCCTCGGTGCCCCTTGCCTTGCCAAAGCCTTGTCCCCCCGGTGGAAGCCCCCCGTGCCGCCCCGCATCATTCGCGGCTCTCGGGGAGCAGCGCCGGGCTGTGCATGTCCTCCTCCTCTCGGAAGTAGGCGGGCTTGCCCTGCGAGCTGGGCGACTGCTGTGCTTTGGCGGGGCAGTTGGCCACCATGTGGCTGATGCTCTGGCAGAAGTGGCACTTCTTGGGCTGCGGGGGCAGCTTGCACTCCTTGGCGTGGTGGTCCAGCCCGCCGCAGTTGTAGCACCTGGGCGAGGGGAGGAGGAGCAGAATGAGGCGGGAGGATGTTGTGACCGTGCCTGGCTCCTTAGCCAGAGCTGGGCTCGGTTTTTGGGGCAGGTGGTGGCCCCAGGGTTGGTCCCTGCAGAGCCCCAGCTCCAGCACGGCCCGTGGGGCTCAGTGGTGCTGCTGGTACCCAGGAGATGGCAGCAAACCGCTGCACTGAGGCCACACACAGGTGGGGATGTGGGGGTTCCACCCCTCTGGGGCCATCAGTGTCCTGGCTCCTGTGTCTCCAGACCCCACTCCCGCCCTACACTGCCCCAGGAACAGGCCAAGGAATGATGACATCCCCAGCTGTCATCGTGTGGGGACAGTGCCAGGGGTGGCACTTCACAGGCCCCATCCCATGGGTGCCACCCCCACACCAGAGCAGAGGGAGCTGCCCCGTGTCCATTTCAAATCCTGCATCCATGCAGGACGGCCACAACCCTTTTCTCTTTCCTTTTCCTTCCCAATTCCTTTCTGATTAATTTAAAATCCTGTGTATGGGAACAGCTGAGTGGGGTGGACAGCATCCACTGGGAGAACTGGGATGGGGCATCCCCAGGCAGCCATGATGGGAGAGGATGAGAGAGGGGGGATGAAGGGCTGGCCAGAAACTTGCCCGGGGCTCCCATCCCGCCGTGCTCTGGCTTGTTTCCTCCCCACAAGGAAGGGTTGCTCCTGGACAAACTGCCCATCCCAGCAGGGCTGCCCGGGGTGTCCCTGACCTCTGCCCCTCCTGCTGCTCCCCTGCCCCTTCCCCACCGAGCTGCATCTGCCGCTCATTAGGCACCGCAGGAAGCGGCTGTCCCAGCCCCGGGGTCACTGCCCGTGCCCCAGCCCCGTGCCCATCCCGGTGCCTGTGCCCATCCCGGTGCCTGTGCCCATCCCGGGGTGCCCGGGCAGCTCCCGGTGCCCGCGGGCCCCGCCCCAGCCCGGCCCAGCCCTCACCGGTCTCCTTTGGATCTGCGCTTCTGGAGGCTCTTCCCCTTGGGCCTCCTCTCGCTGCCGATGCAGAAGACGCCCCCGGGCCCCGTCACCCGGATGGACTCGAGGCCTTTGGATGATTTCTTGAAGGTGAACTCGACAGCCTCGCCCTCCTTCAGGCTGCGGAATCCCTCCATGTGCAGCTTGCTCTGGGGAGGGGCACAGGGAGAGACAGGGGTCAGCACAGAGCTGGGTGTTCTGCAGGCACAGCACAAAGCCCTCCTGCACCCCAGAGCTGCAAATGTCCCCTCTGCCTGCCCCTTGGCTCTGCTTATTTTAAATACAAAAGAATCCTGGGGTTTTGCCCAGTGGTGCGAGTGGCAGGCCCTGTGGCAAGGCCAGGAGCTGCAGGCTGGCACTGTTCCCCCAGCACAGCTCAGCTCAGCTCAGCTCAGCTCAAGCCCTTTAACTGCCTGCAATAATTAATTAAGCAGCCATTTGGCACAGGATTATCACTGCTGTGAGCTTCTCCCATTCCTTCCAGGAACACCACATCGGTTATCGCCACACAATCAAAGCAGGGCAGCCAAGAAAAACCCAGGCTGGGAAGGGAGGGTTGTGAGGTGACAGGAAAACCCCACTCCAATTTGAGGGGCTCTGTCCATTTCAGCAGAACAAATCCTTGGGGAGCAGATCTGGGTGAGGCAGGGGGGAATTCTGTCCCCTTGTGCCCTGAGCATCCCCGGGGCAGGCAGGAATTATCACCCCCGTGCTTTGCTTTGCTCAGGGGCAAGAATTCTCATCTCCTGTGCCCTGAGCATCCCTGCTGCTCTGCCCAAGCAGCTCCAGCTCGGCATCCCCCGAGCCACAGCGAGCTCCAGCAGCGAATTCAGAGGGATTTGCTGAATTCAGAGGGAGGAGCAGCTGCTGCTCCTGCCCTGGGGATTCCCAACGCCTGCGCGGCTGCAGCACCAGCCAGCCCGCATTTATGAATGGAGCGTGTCCCATTCATGGCCGGAGAGCTCCCGTCACGTGTGTGCTCTCCGCTTCTCTCCCGTTCTCCCGAGGCTCCGGGAGCGCCGTGCGGGACCGGCAGGCACCGGCTGCTCCCATCCCAGCTCTGAATCGCACCGGGAGTCACGGGGAACAGCCCACGGAAAAACAGAGAGGGGAGAAACGGAGCTGTTGGGTTTTGGGAGGGAATTTTTTCTTGGCAGGGTCTGGCGGGATGTCCCTGTGTACGAGAGAATGGGAGGCAGCAGAGCTCGAGGAGCAACCCTTGAGCCCCCTTTTTCTGCTGCTTTTCTGTGCCTGGGGGTGCAGCCCAGGGTGGGACAGACCCCAAGTCACCCCCAGGCCCTGGATGCCCTTGGCTGCGGGGATGGGATCCTGGAACGGCCACAGGGACCTTCCTTTGCTCTCTGACCTGCTCCTGCTGCCTCAAGGGAGAGCCAGACCTGACCTCTGGGGTCCCAAATGACAACAAGGACATGACAAGAGTGTCACAGCCCCCTGTGCCCACCCAGGGCAGTGCCAGCAGCATCAGCCCCTAGCAAACCCCCCAAACAGTGACCAAACACTGCAACCCGTGCTGAGCATCCCCCAGGCAGGAACTCTGTGACCAGCACATCTCTGAAGTGCCCTCAGCACATCCCAGGGCTGTCTCTGCACATCCCAAAGGTGCCCCAGCACATCCTCAGCCACCACCCTGGCCTGTCCCAGCCTGAGATGATTTGGGCAATGGGAGCTGCCCCAAATGGGGAATTTACCCCATTCCCTCAGCAGCCCAGGGT